GGTGGTTAGTCACTCGTGGACGTTGGCGGCGGTGGCGGTTGCGCCCGGCGCTGCCTCGGCGGCGGCTGCCTCTCCCGCTTCGGAGCCCGCCTCCGGCCCGAGGGGAGCCGAGGCCATCGCGATCCCCGCTGGGCAACTGAGAAAGCTCGCTTTCTGCCGAAGCGGCTGCTTCTGCCGCTTCCCCCGCAAACTGCAGCTCCCCGGCTCTCCTTCCCTCCCTCCCTCCTTCTCCTCCTCCTCCTCCTCCTCGGCGGGCGGCCTCGCTGCCAGGCAGGGATGGGAGGCGGGAGCTCAGCAGATGCTGCTGCTACTCTGAAGGAAGAAAAAGGCGGGGGGGGAGTGCGGGGAGGGAGCCGACAAAAGGCCGGAGAGGGCGGCGAGGGCAACGTGCGCCGGCAGCCTTGAGCCCACGAGGGGTAACTCGAGAAGCCCGTGGAAGACGCGGAGGGGGCCGGCTGGACGGCGCTAAGAGGCCGCCCACAAAGGTGGCGAGGGTGTCAGGCAAGGGCCAAAGAGCCTCTGGGCACGTGCAGAGAAGCCAGGCGCTGTTTAGCTACGCCTAACGTTAGGAAGGGGAAAGGGTTCCGTTTAACCGCTTTAGCACTTTTCCTTTCAGAAAATAATAAGAATAATAACAAAGATGGTGAGAATTTATACAGCTTCCTCGTCATCCCCACAAAACGTCTTCTTGTTGTTAAGTCGTGTCCGACTCTTCGTGACCCCATGGACCAGAGCACGCCAGGCCCTCCTGTCTCCCACTGCCTCCCAGAGTTGGGTCAAAATCATGTTGGTAGCTTCGGTGACACTGTCCAACCATCTCGTCCTCTGTCGTCCCCTTCTCCTCTTGCCTTCACACTTTCCCAACATGATGGTCTTTTCCAGGGAGTTTTCTCATGAGATGGCCAAAGATTGGAGCCCCAACTTCAGGATCTGTCCTTCAAGTGAGCATTCAGGGTTGATTTCCTTTAGAATGGATAGGTTTGTTCTCCTTGCAATCCAGGGGACTCTCAAGAGTGTCCTCCAGCACCACAATTCAAAAGCATCAATTATTCCGCGGTCAGCCTTCTTTATGGTCCAGCTCTCACTTCCATACATCACTACAGGAAAAACCATAGCTTTGACTACGCAGACCTTTGTCAGCAAGGTGAGTGATCATGGAGCCCAAGTAAGGAATATCTGTCACTGCCTCCATCTCTTCCCCTTCTATTTGCCAGGAGGTGATGGGGCCAGTGGCCATGATCTTTTTTTTTTTTTTTAATGTTGAGCTTCAGGCCATTTTTTGTGCTCTCCTCTTTCATCCTTATTAAGAGTTCTTTAATTCACCCTCACTTTCTGCCATCAGAGTGGTATCATCTGCATATCGGAGGTTGTTGATATTTTTTCCAGCAATCTTAATTCCGGTTTGGGATTCCTCCAGTCTAGCCTTTCGCACGATGTATTCTGCATATAAGTTAAATAAGCAGGGGGACAATATACAGCCTTGTCGTACTCCTTTCCCCATTTTGAACCAATCAGTTGTTCTATATCCAGTTCTAACTGTTGCTTCCTGTCCCACATATAGATTTCTTAGGAGATAGATAAGGATAGATAAGGGGGTCAGGCACTCCCATTTCTTTAAGGACTTGCCATAGTTTGTTGTGGTCCACACAGTCAAAGGCTTGTGCATAGTCAATGAAGCAGATGTTTTTTCTGGAACTCTCTGGCTTTCTCCATAATTCAGAGAGAGAGAGAGAGGTCAGCATATTTGCATCCACATCAATTGGTAATTAGGGTTGCCAGGTCAACAGTATCCCATAGCCTCAGATTCCAGAGCCAAACATTAGAGGAAGGGTAGATCTGATGATGTCACAAGGGCTGACTTTTGTGATGTCACAGGCAAGTTTGGAGGGGAAGCTTTTCTCCAAGGTTCGCACTTTTCCTGACAAGGCAGGTATAACACAAGGGCTCATGATGTACAACACTCTTGCTCCACTCCCAATGGTGCAGTGTTGCCCTGCCAAAAAGCCAAGAGCAAAAAGCAGAGGATCCATGCATTTTGGCTCATCGTGCCATTGGGAGCAACATGCATACAAACATCTTCACACCACACTAGGCAGCCCTAGCATCACTTGGGAATGTATGGACATAAGTGTTCGAGCTTTAATATCACTGCACACATTGCAAAAAGCACGCTATCTTTTGTAATCCTGCTCAGATATGTTTCTGTCTAGAAACCTGGAAAAACTTGGCAGTTCCCTGAGACTTCAGCTGGCGTCCTCAGTCCTGGCAGCCTGACCTGATAATATTTATGTCTGGAGAACCACATTGTACGGGGAGATTTTGTGGAACTTCTTCATAGTTTTATGTGTACCTGACCACCACAGATGACTGGGTTTGCTGTAGTATATTAGATAACTCACTGAAGTTCAGCTTTAAACATTCCACAAATATGTTATTAAGATTGGGCTACCAATGACATTCTTCCACTGAAAGACTCCAACGCAATCTGTACTTTTAGTGCCATTATCTGCACAAACTACAAGGTAGTTCTAATACTAATAGTCAAGTTTTTTAAAAATATATATATTGTCTCAGGATTATACAGCCAAAAGTGACTAAAGTTGAATTAAACCAATTAATGAATATTTGTGTCCCAAAGCTAAAATGTAATATCAATCTTTTCTACATTTTTCCACCACCTAACTTCTTAACTGCCAATACTCCAGCAGAGAACATGCAGGTTGCAAAATCAATGGAATGAGTAATGTACGATGAGTAATGTGCGATAACTAACGTGGAGAGTTCCTCCTTCAGTCATCTGAATCCTACATGGGGGGAGGGGTAATTTGCCAGTTTTCAGAAGAAAAATTTGGAAATACAACAAATAACACAAGCAACTAAATTGAGTCCCATCTTAGTACATAGTAAGGTGTCGGCAGCCATAGACAAATCTTGCCCTGTAACAATATACATCATTTATCAATGTTTGTGTTTTTGCCCCTATGTATTTTGTATGCATTCACCATACATGCCTTGTTCTGTTGAAATTGTAAGACATTTAAGAAGTAAAAAGGGAACCATGATATGACTTTGATGGGAAAGTATGTGATGATAGATTATTCTGCAGAGTGTTACTGAGTGTTTTTGTGCATTTGCCCTGTCTTTCTTTCAGTGGTAGCTTTAGACACATTTAGCTAGATGTTTTTAATACATTAGCATGCAAAACAAGGAAAGAGAGATACGAATGGAATATGTAGGACATGATAACATCATTTATGGAATACTGTATATAAATAATAAGATTGGTTACACAAAAGTTCCTTTTAATCCAGTTGTTCTAATAGTAAAAACCCTATGTTTCTTAAATTATGTAACATGACATGTTCCTTTGTGCTAGTGCATTTTTATGCTTTAGATGTTCTAAGCACTGCACTACTGGAAGAATGTTAAAGCACCATTGTAATTGCTGTTGCTCCTTTTGTGCTACATGGACAAATTACAATGAGCCTTGAGCTTGATTAACCAGCACTCCTCCAGCATGACCACAAGGAACAGTCCAGAAGTTTTGTTTCTATTGCTTAAGTAACTTCTATATCAAAACTGAAAAAAACATTTACATTAAACTGTATCTTCTTCAAATCATAGTTTATAGACTGACCTATGAATAAACCATAGTTTAAGCTAACCAAAGTTCCATGTTTTCATATGTATGAGAAATTCTTCTTACTTTAGAAGTGAAAGTTTTTGATCCCATAAGCCTGCCAATCTACAGGTGTCTTGGAAATGCAATGATTTAAATCGCAGGTGTAATCTCTGACATCAGTACAGCACTTTTTAAAATTTTGGATTAAAAGTTGTCCCAAGGAAAAACATACAGTGATTCAAATAACATGTGCCTACCACAAGACTTTAAAACAGTGCTATATGTTCCTAAAGATTTCACTAATGTAACTGCGCTCTTATTCAGTGTATACAGTCATGTGAAATGGTTTTATGCGTCACTCACAACATAACAAAAATAATCTAATCCTTAGCAGGTCTGAAAATCAGTTTAATACAACCTCATAAGAACAACAACATGACATATTACACTGTGTCATGACTTGTGTAACAAAAATAAAGGCAAAATGGAGAAGACGTGTGAAAAACTAAGTACACCCTCATTGCTTCCATAGGAATAAACAGAAGGAGTAGCAGCTAGGTGATATGTAAAACCAAATAGAGTGGTTTTTTTTTCTTTTTCCCATGGTAAGTCTGAAATTGATAAGCACTGTTAATAAGGACTTCTGCCAAGAATGGCATCAGTACCAGGGCAGAATGTAAGGAATTATGCACCTTTATTTCACTGCAAGAAACTCAAGGCATTTTTGCTGGCCAGAAATCCCTAGAAAGGGAAAGAAAAAAGGCAGAAAATCCCATAGAAAGCTTTTGGACTGAGAAGCATCTAGATTCACAAGCACATTACACATACTGTACACACATAGGTATAAGGGAAAAAACATACATAGTGAAGTCAGATGGCAATGAAATGCAAAAAGTACATCCTATGAAAAAATGTATGTATAGCTTTAAAACGTGATCATTCACCATGACTCAATTCACACTGATACACAATCAATACCTGCAACAAGACAGGAAACTGTTATTTTAGTTTACATTTGAAAAGATAATAGCAGATCTCATAAAAAAACATCCAGAAATGCAACCAGCACATTGTGAAAGGTAATTTGCTGCCAGAATTTACTCAATTTCACTATACATTTTGGACAGCAGAATGAGTATAAAATCCAAGATACAGTAAAGCATGAACTTCAAAAAAAACCTGAAATGGGACTTAATATCTTGCTTCTCTGAAAATTGCTTTGCAACTGGGAGCTTTGTTATGAGATTTCTTCTGGTATTATCCTATTTGAGCCACAGACATTTCTCAAATTCACTTCTCACACTATTAATAAATCTGATGTTAGAAGATGGTTTCAAGCCACCCATGGACTGTACTTTCAGTGAATTATGTGTCCCCTCACAATTAATATACAGAGGCATTTTGTGTCAAATAGTAAAGGCAATCATATAAAGCTATAATGCCGGGTTGCTATGGATAGTCTTATTCTCCAAGAATTTGTCTAATATCTTGATGA